CTTACTGACTTTCTGCGTTAAACTTTCAAAACATTCTAATCAAGCGAAGGACTTGTACTTAAGTTAGAGAAGGAATCTGTGTTCTTATGTGTACCAGAGATTGGCCAATGTTCCAACAACCTGCGTAATGCAAATTGATGGAAAGTTGACTGACGAGTGTACCTGCACTCCCCCCGTTATATTATGTATATATATATATATATATATATATATATATATATATATATATATATATATATATATATATCTATATATATATATATATATATATATATATATATATATATATATGTATATATATATATATATATATATATATATATATATATATATATATATATATATATATATATATATATATGTACATATATATATATATATACACATTCTTTTGACAGTTCCAAAACGAGACGATCTGGGGCAAGACGGAAGGCTCGAGCGTGCCGATCGATGGCATACCAGGGACCTACATCTTCCGCTTAAGCACTAACAACCCGAACCACGTGCTGGAGCCGCCGACAGTGGCTCTGCAGCATTCTCCCGGCAAAGTATACCAGGCCAAACAACAGGCTGGGTCGTCCTTGAACCAGTGGACAGTGGTTGTTGACGATGCCAGCACAAAAGAAGTAATGAAGGGAAAATGGGCGTTGGATGAATCCTTTCCGCCTGCATACTTGCCCTTTTGTAATATCTTTGCACCTGACTTACCATATATTTTTTTTGTAATACCTGTGAAAGAGAACGAGCGATAGAGAGTAACCCATCCGTTTCAATCCCATCCCCTGCCCCCTTCTCGCCAGCCTGGGGCATGGGTCTGGCGAGTCAACACGACAGACGACGCAAACTCGTTCGTGAGACTGGAAACGCTTCTGGAACCCGAGGCGGACCAAGGACCCGTTGTGCAGGTGGATTCCTGGATCGAGCAAGTGAGTCAGAGCAAGAGAGATAAGGTGATAAATAGGAAATTAAATCAACGACGGAAAACATATAGAATAATAAAAAGATGATTACAAATTTAAATGATGACAAAAAATGATAACATATATATATGCGTATATACATACATATATGAAAGATGAAAACACTCTACCGTGTTGATACAGTGGTAGAAAAACCCACAATGTAAAAACTAGATTTATTAAAAATGAGACATTTTTAATAAATCTAGTTTTTACATTGTATGTTTTTTCTACCGCATACATGTACATACATATGATATATATACATATATCCATATGTGTATATATATATACATATACACACACACACACGCACACACACACACACACACACACACACACTGACGGCCTTAAAGCAAAAGCCTGTTTAGACTTTTCCTATCTTCTCTCTCTGCCGCCAAGGTCTCGGGACCTGACGGCGTGGCTGGGACATCTGACGAAGTTCTCCTGTACGCGAAGGTGATGGAGGGTGAAATGCCAGTCCTGGGCGCTGTCGTCGAGTAAGTGCACTGCGGTAGGAGTTCTTTGAGCAATACCTTGAAATTATGATTAAGTACGGTCATAAGATTTTTTTTGAGCAGTTACGTAATAATGATAATGATTAAGGACGTGATGGTGATAATAACTAGACTAGTAAAGATAATAATTAAGTATGTGGTGATGATAATAACTGAGTGATGATGATGATAATTAAGAACGGTGATGAGAGTTCTTTAAGCAATTATGTGATTAATGATTAAACACGTGATGGTGATCATACCTATCTGGTAATGATGATTAAATATGGTGTTAAGAATTCTATAAGGAAAGAGGTGATAATTATCAAGGACGTGATGATAATAACTGTGGTAATGATAATTAAGCACGGTGTTCAGAGATTTATGAGCAAATTAAGCAAGACCATTACTCGTGGTGATGATGGCAATAATGGTGATGAGTTGTAATGATTATTATGATAGGGAGGATGATAATGATGATGATAATAATAATAATAATAATGACAATTATAATGGCAATAACGACAGATAATAACAGTATTAATTATTATAATATTAATAATGATAAAGATATCAATAATGATTTTAACAAGAAATATGCTAATGATAATAAAATCAATAACAGGGATAATAACAATAACGATTATAACAATGATTCGGTTTTACGTCACGAATTGCCTCGCAAAGGACCTAGGACGCCGCCAACTTTCGAAGGACGTTGACTCTGGCACGTGGCGTCCGTTGCCCCGAGCGAACACCCTCTCACTTGATCCATTCGCGATGGGCAAAAATGAAGAAGAAAAAAAAATGGGGAAAATGCTATTTTTCTTATTTTTTTGTGAAATGTCTCTACACATAGATGGCTCTGCTTTACCTGATTTCATCTTTCCTTGAATTGGTGGGAAAATGTATTTTTTACTAGTGCTATGAATATCGATGGTTATTTTTATTATAAAAAATGTAATTACTATAATGTTATAAACACTAGTGGAAGCAAAAGAAGATCACGTAAAATATTTGGGTAAATTAAAGAAAAAGGTAAACGGGTGATTATAATAGTAAACTAATACAAATGGCAAAATAATATTGATAATGAAAATAATCACAACAGTAATAATATGGATAGTAATATCTAATTATACTACTACTGCTACTACAACTACTGCTACTAATATTTACGATAATATTTATGCTAATAGTAATAATTATTAATTATTATTATTAATAATAATAATGATAACAATAATAATGATAATGGTAAATAGATACATGTTTTTTATGGTAATGATAAAAAACGATGATGTTAAAGATAAGAATAATAAGGATGAAGATGATGATGATAATAATAATAATAAACAATAATAATAGTAATGATAATAATGATAATTATATTAAATTCATGATAATGAGAATGAGAATTAATACTGCACTACTGATAATAATGATGATAATAATGATAGTGTTATCAGGATAACAATAACAACAGTACTAATGATGATAATGATGATGATGATGATAATGGTGATGATAATGACAATAATGATAATGACAATAATAATAATAATAATAATAATAATAATAATAATAATAATAACAATAATAATAATAATAATAATAATAATAATAATGATAATAATAATAATAGTAATAATGATAATAATGATAATAATAATATCATAAAGATAATGATGATGATGATGATAATGATGGTGATGATGATAATAATAGTAATGATAGTAATAATAACAACAACAACAATAATAATAATAATAATAATAATAATAGTAATAAATTTATATCTACCCTCGTTACCATGGCAACCCCAAGAGCCTATGTGAGCAGCGCCGAAAACAGCAGTATTAAACATCGTCTACAACTCTACGATACCGGCAGTGGCGCCGATTCACAGAAGGGGGACGGTCTGTACTCCTGCTCCGTCCCCCCCTTCGCGAAAGGCAACTACTCCATCGAGGTCAAGGTTGGTCATGTGGCACCTAAGGGCACCTCTCTGGCTGCACTGACGGGTTATTTTGTGTGGGGTTGGTGGGCCTTTCTCCCATTCTCTGTCAGTTTTATTTTTGTTATTATTATTATCATTATTATTATTACCATTATCATATATATATATATATATATATATATATATATATATATATATATATATATATATATATATATATATATATATATAAATATGTGTGTGTGTGTGTGTGTGTGTGTGTGTGTGTGTGTGTGTGTGTGTGTGTGTGTGTGTGTGTGTGTATGTATGTATACATATATTTACATATGTGTATATATACACACAAATGCATGTATTTATATATGTATGTATATATATATATACATATATATATATATATATATATATATATATATATATATATATATATATACATACATATATATATATATATATATATATATATATATATATATATATATATGTGTGTGTGTATATATACATATATATATATATATATATATATATATATATATATATATATATATATATGTGTGTGTGTGTGTGTGTGTGTGTGTGTGTGTGTGTGTGTGTGTGTGTGTGTGTGTGTGTGTGTGTGAAAAGAAAACTGCCACAGTAAGAAATGAAATTGAAATGTATCGTTTCGAATTCTTCACCGTTCTGAAGCGATCAGAAAAACAATTGATCGCTTCAGAACGGTTAATCCTTCTATTCCGTATTGTATGGCCTTCCCCAAACTCACAAACAGGGCATCCCTCTAAGAACAATTATTTCGTCTTGTAACTCGGTTACCCGTCGTATAGGCTTTTGGCTAGCGAGCGTTCTATCTCCTTTCATGGGATCATTTTCTGATAGTCATTTGAAACATTCTATGGATTTCATGGATAAGGTTAGAAACTTGCCGACGCACGATGAGAAATTAGTGAGTTTTGATGTAGATTCCCTGTTCACTAATGTCCCACTTGACGATGTACTTGATATCCTTGAAAGAAAACTTTCTTCATCTCATGAGAAGGTCCCTATTCCGGTCAATTGCTTTGTTGAGCTCATCCATTTGTGTGTCACGAACAATGTCTTTATTTTTAACGGCGAATTTTATAAACAAATCACAGGTATCGCGAGGGGAAGTAGCTTAAGCCCGGTCCTTGCGAATTTATATATGGAGATTGTCGAATCTGAACTCCTGTCTATTCTCCCTTCCGACACGATTTGGTTTCGTTATGTTGATGATATTTTTTCTCTATGGTAAGTGAACCGTTCAGATTTCGATGATTTTTTTCGGTAAACTGAACAACCTCGCGAGTACTATTAATTTTAAAGTAGAATGAGAAGATTCAGGTAAATTGCTTTCTTTTGATGTCCTTTTATCCAATGTAAATGGCTCGCTTAAATTTTCGGTTTACCGTAAACCTACACACACCGCTAATTACCTTCATATTTTTCTCGAATCACCCGTTGTATGTTAAGAGGTCAGTAGTCTCGTCCATGTTTTTAAGGGCATATAGGATTTGTGATACCGAATTTATCGATCGAGAAATTTACGTCATATTTGAAACGTTTTCG